ATGGAGATAACTACCACGTGCTGATAAATGTCGCCGATATTATTGTCTATTGTTGCGTAAACAAGAATGTTTGTTAGAAAGTTAAACAAGTAATATGACATGTTAATTCGTGGAAACCCTATTCATTTTATGATACTTGGTCAGTTTATATTCATATTCAAGATCCTACTCCGTTGTTGTGTTGTTATTTCAAATATAAACAGACAAAACATGTTATTGGTAGTCTCTAGAGTGAAGAAATCAACAAACAATTTCTATAGAATTTAAACCAGTAAATAATGTCGCTATTCGTCAATATCTTTTCACACCTATTTGGGGCTGATTTATGTTAATCGAATGACCTAAATATCTAATAAAGCCAAGTTATTTCTGAGAGATTGAAACATGTGACGTGATTATTATTGATTGTATGTTTGCTATGCATAGATTTAAGTTATTGTTATTTTACTTTTCTAACAAATATTTATTCTCGGGATCAAAACGCCTCATGTTTGATGTACCACTATGTTTGTAGTCAATTAAATAATATTTATTTCGACACTACAGACATGTACCCTATCAATCAAATACCGATCTGAATAAATCTCCAACCTATATATCATTTATATTCAGTTAATCAATCCTCAACACCAATCTTCAACCTATATATCATTTATATTCAGTTAATCAATCCTCAACACCAATCTTCAACCTCTATATCATCTATATTCAGTGAATCAATCTTCAACACCAATCTTCAACTTATATATCATCTATATTCAGTTAATCAATCTTCAACACCAATCTTCAACCTATATATCATCTATATTCAGTGAATCAATCTTCAACACCAATCTTCAACCTATATATCATCTATATTCAGTTAATCAATCTTCAACACCAATCTTCAACTTATATATCATCTATATTCAGTGAATCAATCTTCAACACCAATCTTCAACCTATATATCATTTATATTCAGTGAATCAATCTTCAACACCAATCTTCAACCTATATATCATCTATATTCAGTGAATCAATCTTCAACACCAATCTTCAACCTATATATCATTTATATTCAGTGAATCAATCCTCAACACCAATCTTCAACCTATATATCATTTATATTCAGTGAATCAATCTTCAACACCAATCTTCAACCTATATATCATTTATATTCAGTGAATCAATCTTTAACACCAATCTTCAACCTATATATCATTTATATTCAGTGAATCAATCTTCAACACCAATCTTCAACCTATATATCATTTATATTCAGTGAATCAATCCTCAACACCAATCTTCAACCTATATATCATCTATATTCAGTGAATCAATCTTCAACACCAATCTTCAACCTATATATCATCTATATTCAGTGAATCAATCTTCAACACCAATCTTCAACCTATATATCATCTATATTCAGTGAATCAATCCTCAACACCAATCTTCAACCTATATATCATTTATATTCAGTGAATCAATCTTCAACACCAATCTTCAACCTATATATCATCTATATTCAGTGAATCAATCCTCAACACCAATCTTCAACCTATATATCATTTATATTCAGTGAATCAATCTTCAACACCAATCTTCAACCTATATATCATCTATATTCAGTGAATCAATCCTCAACACCAATCTTCAACCTATATATCATCTATATTCAGTGAATCAATCCTCAACACCAATCTTCAACCTATATATCATCTATATTCAGTTAATCAATCTTTAACACCAATCTTCAACCTATATATCATCTATATTCAGTGAATCAATCCTCAACACCAATCTTCAACCTATATATCATCTATATTCAGTTAATCAATCTTCAACACCAATCTTCAACCTATATATCATTTATATTCAGTGAATCAATCTTTAACACCAATCTTAATCAAGATTATGTACGATTCATATGGTTTGAAGATGGTGATGCAAATAAACCACTGAAAGTATATCGCTAAACTTCTGTATTCTTTGGTGAAACCAGTTCGCCTTTCATCCTGAATGCCGCAATAATCTTCCATCTTTCAAAGTACATCAACTCTATCAGCAATTCATTGTCAAATATTGCTGAAGATCTGCAGAGAAAGCTGTATTGCGATAACAAACGGTGAAGATAATGAACATTCTGCGATCGATTACTATCGAACTTCACGTCAGTTAATGAGAGATGCCGATATGAATCTTCGTCAATGGTGTACCAACTCGCCAAAGGTGCAAGATCTCATCGACACCGCAGGTTCTGGTTCATCACCTTTAACGTCTGGATTACTTGGAATTGTTTGGGATATCAGAGAAGATACCATACAGTTTCCTAAGAAGTCCCTAGTTTTACCTCAAGAGCTGAAATTTACTAAGCGACTAGCCTTGAGTCGTGAATAATCTTTGTACGATCCTATTGGTTTATATCACCTGTGATTGTCTTGGCGAAGACATTTATTACAACTTTGTGGACGTATCGTACTGAATGGGATGAAGAGCTATCAGATGATCTTCTTCTTGAATTCAATGATATTCTTCGTGACTGTGAATTGTCATCAACTTTTGATCGATATCTACAACTTGATACATCACAGTCTATTCAGCTATATGTCTTCTGCCTCCGTCAACAGCTGTGGCATGTGTAGCGTATATGGTTCAAGTTGATATCGTGGTATTTATTAGTTCAAAATACAAGGTCGCTTCATCTAAGCATAAGTACACAGTTCCAAGATTGGAGTCTTTGTCCAAAATCGTGTTGCAGATATCCGTCGACTTACAGATGTCAATTCATGGTCACATGCCAGTTCTGAAGACAACCCTGCTGATATTTTGTCATGAGGATGATCACAAGGTAATTTGCAGAAATCAGTACCTTAGCACCAACATGGCTAAAAGATCTAGATTTATGGCCACAGTGGAATCCTGTTAATGGTACTGTGAACGAGGACCTGGTTACTTAAGCAACTGTAGTTAATGAAAGTCACAAAATTGGTAACTTGTCACAACTTGTTGATCTACAACGTTACAGTTCTTACACCAGCTTACGTCGTATAGTGGCATATATCCTGAAATTCGTCAAATTACTGAAAAGTCGAGGGCATTCACGTCAACATTTGTTAGTGGAAGGTCATTGTTTTTATGCTCGTGAGATTCGTGATGCTGAAATTAGACTTTGAAAGAAACTTTCCTAATGAAATTGGCTATCTTAGAAAATCTCGTACCAAATCTAAGCCACAGTTGATAAACCAAGTTAATCTTCAGCTAAATGGAGATGGTCTTCTTGTTGCCCCGGGCAGGCTCGAGCCTGATATGCTCAATGACAGATCAAGATTCCCAAATACGTATCGCCAAGAATTCTCTCTTTACTCAATTCACAGTAAAGTCTGTTCACCATCAACAATTACTGCATTCTGGTGTGAACTTGCCTTGCGAAAGAAGTTCTGGTTACCATCTGCTAGATATCGAGAAAATGTGTCATCTGCAAACGTCAAATTGGTATACCATTTATTCTACCCCTGTCTCCGGCATTACCAGATTTTCGATTGAATAAATTGACACCATTCTCCTCACTTGGTATCGACTACACAGGTCATTTGATGGTGAGAGTTTCTGGTCAAAAAGTCAAGTGCTACATTTGTTTGTTTGCGTGTAGCACCATGACATGTACAAACCTGTAGATTGTCAACGACCAGTTAGCTGACCAGTTTATCCAGGCTTTTCGCCGACATTGTGCATCTTATGGTACACCTGATAACATTATTTGTGACAACGCCCGAACCTTCATAAAAGCATCAGAGCATTATCCACGATCTCCATCGTTTGGTTCAAGATGAGAAAGTACAGTCGTACATCAGCGAAGTCACCTCATTGGGGAGGGATGTACGAACGTTTGTTTGGTGAACTCTAATCGATCTTAATGAGATGCTGATTTTGATCAAAGAAATTCAGACAGTCGTCAATGATCGTCCACTTGCTTACGTCTCCGGCAACATAAATGATTTACAACCAATCATTCCATTGAAACTCTTACTTGGTTATGAAATCACTGCTTTGCCTCATCCAATTGTCGACGACCAAGATGTAGCAGATGATGACTACTCTACTCATGAACAGCTCAACAAGGCTTTTCAGTCTAATCTATAGCCACTTCGTCAAACGTTTTCAGTCTGAATATTATGCAACACTCGGAGAACAGCTAGTTCTGAATTTATCAAGGTTGGAGATGTTGTTCTGGTTCACGACAGAGATTTACCTCGACTATGGAAGCTATCTTTAATCCAAAAACTTCTTCGTGGTGAAGATGGTTTAGTTCGAGCAGCAGAGATCAGAACAAATCATGGTAAAACCAACAGATCTATTCATCTACTGTACCCACTGGAGGTTTATTTGAATGACCAAGAGAATCATTTCGCTGAACAAAGTACTATTCCACAGAAGGAGCCCAGAAGAAGCACACGAATTGCTGAGAAATCTTGCCCCCGCCCCCAATATGTGGAATAGTTCGGACAATTTAAATATTTATATCTGAATGTTTTGGAAGTGGTAGTTGTCTTAAACCATATCCGCCAAGGGGCGCAACCCTATTAAAAAACCGCATGTTCTCGCCGCCATTTGCACAGATCGGGAGCAATTATACCTGACTAATTATTATGTAAAATGATGTACAATAGTTATTTATATTAAACACGAAAAACACAACGTAAACTCTAATTCTTATTATATCTTTGTGGAGCTACAATTAACCATAGTCAGACCTAAACAAAGTCAGACCTGTACATAATCGGACCTGTACATAGTCAGACCTGTACATAATCGGACCTGTACATAGTCAGACCTGTACATAGTCAGACCTAAACATAGTCAGACCTGTACATAGTCAGACCTAAACATAGTCAGACCTGTACATAGTCAGACCTAAACATAGTCAGACCTAAACATAGTCAGACCTAAACATAGTCAGACCTGTACATAGTCAGACATAAACATAGTCAGACCTAAACATAGATTGACCTGTACATAGTCAGACCTTTACATAGTCAGACCTGTACATACTTAGACCTGTACATAGACAGACCTGTACATAGACAGACCTGTACATAGTCAGACCTGTACATAGTCAGACCTGTACATAGTCAGACCTGTACATAATCAGATCTATACATAGTCAGACCTATACATAGTCAGACCTAAACATAGTCAGACCTAAACACAGTCAGAATAGTACATAGCCAGACCTGTACATAGTCAGACCTAAACATAAACAGACCTGTACATAGTCAGACCTGTACATAGACAGACCTAAACATAGACAGAACTAAACATAGTCAGACCTGTACATAGACAGACCTGTACATAGACAGACCTATACATAGTCAGACCTCTACATAGCTAGACCTGTACATAGCTAGACCTGTATATAGTCAGACCTGTACATAATCAGATCTATACATAGTCAGACTTAAACATAGTCAAACCTAAACATAGTCAGACCTTGATATAGTGAGACCTGTACATAGTGAGACCTGTACATAGTGAGACCTGTACATAGTCAGACCTGTACATAGTCAGACCTGTACATACTTAGACCTGTACATAGTCAGACCTGTACATAGTTAGACTTATACATAGTCAGACCCAAAGATAGACAGACCTGTACATAGCTAGACCTAAACATAGACAGACCTAAACATAGACAGACCTAAACATAGACAGACCTTAACATAGACAGACCTGTACATACTTAGACCTGTACATAGTCAGACCTGTACATAGTCAGACCTAACCATAGTCAGACCTAAACATAGACAGACCTGTACATAGTCAGACCTAAACATAGACAGACCTAAACATAGACAGACCTAAACATAGTCAGACCTAAACATAATCAGACCTTAACATAGTCGGACCTAAACATAGTCAGACCTGTACATAGACCTAAACATAGACAGACCTAAACATAGTCAGACCTGTATATAGTCAGACCTATACATAGCTAGACCCAAACATAGTCAGACCTGGACATAGTCAGACCTTAACATAGCCAGACATGTACATAGTCAGACCTTACATTGTCCAACCTGTACATAGTCAGACCTGTACATAGTCCTTAAACATAGTCGGACGTCTGTGGTTTTTGCAACTCTAATTTGATTGATCATTTTATGATGTCACTAATATTTAAACAGAAACCTGAAGTTTACAGTGTCATAATAAGAGTATTATATTGAGGTCACTGTGACATATCAGTAAAATAAATATTATATCTAAACTTGATATTCACTGCTATTTATTGACTGACCTAAATGTATATAATAGGGGCTGATACAATAAGGTATAATATTTCAACTGAATGGCTGTCAAAAAGCATAGACTACAGTTTTAAATACAGTCCAACACAACAAGTTATTTCTATGAATCGAATGAGTTGTATATATAAAGAAGTAAAAAGATTTCTGAGAAATTGAAGCATGTGACGCGTTTATTTGTTGAAACTATAGGCCAACTTATTCAAACAGATTATTTGGAAATTAAGGTTTTAATCCTTTATGTGTATCTTAGATTGAAACAAACTTTTATCACTACACAATTCAATATTTTAATAAATCATAAGAACTGCAATCGTAGTGTTATCATTGTCTTGTCAACCTACCATTTGAAATCACTAGAAATAGACAAAACTAGCTAAATGATAGTCATCAAGTACCTGCAACTAAAAGGATAAACCGCATACTGACATGGTCTCCATTTTAGATTATGATCATCCTTCCTTTTCCACTGTAAATAAAAGGGTTGCAAAGTTTAAATATAGTATGGTCTTGACTATGACACCATCCAAGAAGCAGACCTGTAGCCAGACTTGATTGTTTGATGGGGTATGGTGTATGGTGTATGGTGTTTAGTTCCAGTAATGATATTGGTCGGTTGTCATTAATTTCTAGAGGGGGAAATCCATTTTTTCGGATAGCCACAGGCTTGCCAAGAAGGTCTTACAAAACAACCATTTATGGACATGGAAATGGCCGATAGTCGATTGACCACTCAACATATTGACAGTGTTTTGGGTATCTTAAACCTTGACTCCAATAGCCACTGTTCTTGTATCACAGAATACAGCAATTTGATTGGATTGTACGCCAACGAATACATCACTCAGAGGCCTCGACAGAAAGACTTAAAACATTAGGTTTTTTTTATGATTTTAGAGACTTTTGTCGAGGCCTCTGATTGGTTGTATTTGAAAGCGTTCAAGGTATACGTTACAGTTCATAAAAACTGGACATTGTGAAGCTAGTCGTAACTAGTTAACTACCTATTGTACTGTTAGTATTTTAATTTAGGACAGGTAAAAGTCAATGGTTATTGTTATTTTAGTTTCTATAGTGCAGTAATCAACATGTCATTTCTAAACCAGTATATAACTTGACTATTCGTAGAAATCTTTATCATACTGCTCTGTGTCTCTGGGGAAGTGTAGACCATGCACCTGAAGTTAAAGCGGATAATGAGTGGAAGGTACTGCATCAGATTGTCATACCCAATGAGCTCAGAAAGCACATTCTTAGTGTTGCACATGAAACTCCTTGGGCTGGTCATTTGGGGGTTAACAAAACTTGTGATAAAATTCTTGCGCATTGTTTTGGCCCAGTTTAAGACAGGATGTATCTAGTTTTTGTAAAACATGTCATACCTGTCAGGTTGTAGGTAAACCAAATCAAACTATACCTACTGCTCCATTAAAACCCATTCCGGCTTTTGAAGAACCATTTAGTAGAGTTATTATTGATTGTGTAGGCCCTTTGCCGAAAACTAGATCATGTAATGAGTATCTCCTTACAATTATGTGTGTCGCTACTAGGTTTCCAGAGGCCATCCCTTTAAGGAAAATAAATGTCCCTGTAATTGTCGAGGCATTGATAAAATTCTTTACTCTTGTAGGTCTACCAAAATCATTACAGCCTGATCAGGGTTCTAATTTTATGTCTGGTTTGTTTCACCAAGTCCAGTGCATAACATCCGGAGTCACAGGGTGCATTAGAGAGGTTCCACCAGACACTAAAGAATATGATCAGGAGATATTGTTTTGAAAGTGAAAAAGAATGGGATCAGGGTATTGACCTATTATTGTTTGTAGTCAGGGAGTTGGTTCAGGATTCACTTGGGTATAGTCCATTTAAGCTTGTGTTTGGTCATTCAGTTCGTGGTCCTTTAAAATGTCTTAAAGAACAGCTTCTGTCTTCTACAGATTCAGAATTCAATTTACTTGATTATCTTTCTAAATTTCGAAATAGATTGTTAAAAGCTTGTGAAACTGCCAGAGAAAATTTAAAAGTACTCAAACTAAAATGAAGGAACGTTTTGATAGAACATCTTAATCTAGAGCATTTAGCCCTGGTGATAGAGTTTTAATATTGTTGCCTATCCCTGGTTATTCTGGCCCTTATATGATCGAAAAGAAAGTTAGTGAGACAGATTATATTATTAAGACTCCTGATCGTCGTAAAACTAAAAGATTGTGTCATATCAATATGATTAAAGGGTATCATGAGAGAGATGATGCCAATCCTATTAGTTCTGTTGGCTGTGTTTCTGCCATTGGTGCACCTTTTGAACATGAAGACAATACCAATTCTTTTGTTAAGTTCGATGATATTAGTGATAATTCTAATCCTCGATTAAGAAACTCTGAATGGCTTTCTCACATTGATGATAAACTAGGACATTTATCAAAACTACAAAGAGAATAATTAAGCAATTTAATTCATGAATATGATCATTTATTTACGGATGTGCCTGGCTGTATTAACTAAGTGACTCATGATAGAGATGTGGAAGATTCTTTGCCAATAAAATAGCAACCTTACAGAATGAATCCGATTAAACAAGAACATCTCAACAAGGAAATCGAATATATGTTAGAAAACGATATTATTGAACCCAGTGATAGTGGGTAGAGTTCTCCATGTTTACTTGTACCAAAACCTGATGGGAGTTGTTGCTTATGTACAGATCTCAAAAAGGTAAATTCTGTTTCGAAACCTGACTCTTACCCCATACCTCGTATAGATGACTGTATCGACCAAGTTAGCAGTGCAAAATATGTCAGTAAATTTGACTTATTGAAAGGTTATTGGGGCATTCCACTCACAGAGAGGGCGAAGAAAATTTCTGCCTTTGTAACCCCAAAGGGACTATACTGCACAACTTGATGGTGTCGAAACTTATATAGATGACGCAGTTGTGCTTTCTATGGAATGGGACGAACATTAAGAACGGATCCGAAATTTCCTCCAAAAGATTACTGAAGCTAATTTGACAATCAATCTTGCCAAGTGTGAATTTGCGACATGTGATAGGTCAAGGTCAGGTTCACCCATTTAAGGCCAAGTGTGAAGCCATTGCTAATTTTACTGTTCCTCAAAACATAAAGGATATCATGAGATTTTTAGGTATGGCAGATTTTTACCGCAAATTTTGTCGCAATTTCTCTGATGTTGTTGCTCCTTTAACAAATTTATTAAGTAAAAGAGCTAAATACATTTGGAATAATAGCTGTAAAATAGCATTTAGCAAAATAAAGGCCATGCTTATGAGTTATCCTGTTTTACAAGCACCACAATTTGACAGATACATGTAGATGCAAGTGATATTGGTGCTGGGGCTGTTTTACTCCTAGAGGATGGTTATGGCATCGTTCATCCTGTTTGTTATTTTTCAAAAAAGTTTGACAAGCATCAAAGAAATTATTCCACTATTGAAAAAGAAACATTAGCTCTTTTACTTGCTTTACAACAATTTGAGATATATTTAGGTACTACTGTTTTTCCTATTGAGGTATTTACAGATCATAATCCATTAGCTTTCCTTCATAAAATGAAAAACAAAAACCAAAGACTCATGAGATGGAGTCTGTCTTTGCAAGAATTTGGCATTGTAAACATATTAAAGGAAAAGACATCATCATAGCTGATCTAGAAATTAAGGATTTATATTTGTAAGTAATGTTAATTATTGTTGGATTAATATTTCAGATTTTTGTTGTAGTTAATTTAGTTAAAGAAAATTATCACTTTACATTCAAATTTTCTTTTCTTTAAGGGGGAGGGTGTTATAACCCTCTATTTTAGATATTATAATAAGTTACACATTGTATTAATATATTATTTAGTTATTAGTTGATATTTTATCAGTGCTCTTTATTAGCTTTTATGATAGCACTAATAATCAGCAGAATCGACGGGGGTTATCGTTACTGAACTGAAGTTGTAGAGTTGACTTGGAGTTGGGGGGTTTCGCCTGTGTAGCTCTAGGGGTTGATATACATGTAGTTGCTAACCCCAAGTGTCGAGATGGTATTAGATGCTGGATGTCGGGTTTTAGATAGGGTTTAGAATAAATAACGAGATCTGAAATAGTATTGAATGTAATATGAATTGGTGACGACTGATGTTTGATAGTCATATTTATATCAGTCATTGCATCATAGGCTTCAAGGGTGTTTTAATCAGTCGCCATTCAATTCATATACATTGGTCGCCTTAATGATCTAACTGTTTATATCAGCTATCATATTATCTAAGATTATTAAAAACATGAAACATAGTTGATTAGTCTTACTATATAATTGATATTCTTAGATAATATGACATGCTGTTTATGAAGGCTATTATAATATTGCCCAGTCATTATTAACTTCAAGGCTGGAGCATGCTTTTGTTGAATAAGTTGAGTGGAAGTTTGGCAGTTCACTTGTGAAGATGTGTTGGTTTAATCTCAATAGGTTTGTAGGAAGTGATTGAGTAAACTGACAGGCAAAAGAAAGTTTTTACTTTAAAAATCTTTGTATAAAAAGCAAAAAACTGGTACAGGTTTGAACCCCAGCAGCAAACATTGGCCTAAATGCAACGTAATCATAACCACAACACCGATTATTGAATGCAGCTTTCCAGATCGTGTATGCATAAAAAGGTGCAAAACGCGATTTTGCGACATTGTTCCAAATGCACGTGTTCGATTTCGGAATAAATACCGAAGTTGGACAGAACAGGCATTCAGTAAAGGAAAAAGCACCAAAAGTATGCCAAGACTTACGCAAGCGCAAAGAGATAGAGCGATATTGCCAGGATGGGGGCTTCTCAACGACGGATAGCTAGAACCTTGAACTTATGGAACATGATTCCTTTTGACGTTATGCGCCGCCTGACGACGTCAATGAGGAGGCGTGTGTTTGCCCAGGGTGGCCACACTCGTTATTGATGAAGTTTCGCCTGACTACTGTCATGGAATAAACTCTTTATGTACTCTTGCAATGAACTCTGGTTTGTGTAATTTTTAATTTTGACCCCTTGACTCTTCCTTTGTGTATTGCAGAGAATTGAATATCGGTATTGCAATGCATTTTCATTCTAATTCAAGGAAATTGTATATATATAGTATATATTATATTGAGGTTACTGTGACATATCAGTTATACTAATATTACATCTAAACTTGATATTCACTGCTATTGTTTGACTGACCTAAATGTATATAATAGGGGCTGATACAATAAGGTATACTAACTATCGACAAGCTATTTCTACACATTGTATGACCTGTATATCAAGTGAGACGAAGTTATTTCTGAGAAACATGTGACGTAATTTTTCCTGGAAACCTAATTATTCTGTGTAGGATTGATAGTTTATACTGATAAACCTTTTATAAAAAATCAAAACCAGTATAAAACTTGACTAGTGGTGGACAGAACATGTTATTCTGTATAGGATTGATAGTTTATATTGATAGCAAGGGATTAACTAGTGTGGTGTCATTATTTGTAGAAACTGTTATATTCATAGCGAGGAACCTTTCAATTGTCAAGTCCCTAGTTCAAGTTGTGGCAGATAAAACAAGTTATTGTTAATCGTCTCTAGAAGGAAGTACTCAAGAAGCCATTTCTATGAAATCTAAACCAGTATATAATGTGACTATTAGTAGAAATCAAACAGAACTTCTTCAGTGTATTTTAAAAGAATAAAATGGCCACAGCTTCAGTGAGTAACATACCAGAATGTTCTATTTGTTGTGAAGGTTTTAAAACACCTAAATTTATAACATGCGCACATACTTTCTGTTTAAGTTGCATTGAGACATATATTGGTGATAAAACAGAAACATTCGCCTGCCCGATCTGTCAGCAGGATGTTAAGATTCCAGAAGGTGGTGCTAGGATGTTTACTACCAATTTTATAGTTGAACCATCCATGAATACAACATTACCTACATTACAAGTTACTAGTACAACATCGCCTACAACAAAACTTACTGGTACAGCATCACCTACAACACATCTAACAGACAAAACCTCTTCAAAGGTAAAATACCACTGTCCATGTCATAGAGAGAGACCAATAGACTACTATTGTCTAACTTGTCACTGTGTGTTATGTCATAAATGTTTTCTGAAAGAACACAACGGTCACGAGTATTTAGATGTAGAATGTGAAACTGTGAAAGAAAAAGCTACAGAGCTAGTTTTAACCTCAGAGAAATTCATCCAAAATAAAATCAAAGACTTGGAAGAAACTCATGTGGTGTTAGTAGAAGCGAGAGAGACACTCCAGCGTTTTACTGAAGATGCTTGTAGCAGAATAACCAAACAAACTGATAAAATTATAGCAGATATAAAGTCTAGCAGTGAGAGAATCATGACAGACGTCA